GCTCTTTTGTCTCTCTTTCTGGGTGTAGGCTGCCCTATTTAGGTTGCCCTTTGTTTTGTCAATCTGGATGTTTAGAGAGATTAAAGGTAGTTATGCTGGGAACTTTACAACCTACTAACTTAAGTGCCATTACAATACTATCCTTTTTAACTCTTCTACTTCTTCCTTTTCTTTCACACAGAGGCATTCCTACTCAACTCCATCCATATCAAAGTTGAAAATTTTACTACAGTTTTTCACAAAAGAGGAGGAAATAAGTATAATGCTTCTACTTCTGATCATCCTCTGTTGATCTAGAACAGTAAAGAATGGCATGGAGCTGCATCAGGGGAGAGTCAAGTTGAACAAGAGGTAAAGGTTCTTCATCAGAGGGCAGTAGGCATGGAACAGACTTCCCAGGGCAGTGGTCATGGCCCCAAGTGCTGGAGTTCAAGGAGAGTTTGGACAACACTCTCAGACATAGTGTTGTCTATGAAGTGGATTCGTTACCAGTGTGCAATGAGCCAATTCCCACATGATCAGGAGAGATGCCTGTTATTCAGGGCCGAGTGCTTGGTGGAAGTTTCCACAAAATAAGCACACCAATGCAAACTTCTTCACCATATTTAAACATTAAATTCGCAAGTACTCCACCCATCTAATACCTATTTATCCTCATCTACACTGCAGAATCATCTATCTTGGCCTCTTCAAGCAGTTAAGTGCATCTCCTCCTTTCTTTGGGGGGGTCTTTAGTGGTCTCTAGTGGTCCTTTTGAGTGGAGCACCCTTTCTCCTTTTATTCAAATATGGTCACACATTACCTAAGTACAAGCTGAAAGTTCTCCTTTTGTCAACTTCCCTCTATCCTTTCCATGAAGAACAATATTACTTGATTAATCAGATAACATCAGTGGCCAAGACATCCATGCTTCAGTATAAACAGTACTTGATCAAAGAATTCTACCTTCATGTTGATTAAACATAACCAATGCCCCTTATTTTTCAGTGGAAGATTAAACATTTTATCTGTTTCCATTAAAATGATGTTTGAATTTTGGGTAGTCCTGTGTGGAGCCAAGAGTTGATCCTTGATTAAAGTTGAGAGATGATCCAAAGATCTGTGCTCCTTGTGGATCTCTTCCAAGCTGGGATTCTCTGTGATTCCATGATCTTCCTAGGTTACAATCTATTGGGGCTGGGTAGGCAGAGGACATAGGAATGTGGCTGATGCGATTTCCTACAGGAATAACTTCCTATTGGCTACGGAAATAACTCATGTTTGTAACTCATTTACAGGGAATAAAGCCAGTATAAACTTGTAAATTTAAAGATAGCTTGTGTGAATTCACAGGACCTCAGTACACCTGTCTCTTTTGGGGTATTTGTAGTGAGGAGTCCATCAAAACAACTAGAGCTTCACACCTCTGTAATATCCAGGAGAGCATTATAAGTTTTATGAGCTTGTACATACAGGCACTGGCGTGGCCAGGAATGTTAAAATGAGAGCCATAGGAGAGATCAAACTCTTTTCTGTGTACTGCTGCTTGTATTTCTAGAAGTGTGGGGAAATCAGATGGATTACCTGCATCTCTCCATGCCACAGGCAATATCCCAGTGAATACATTGGTATTGGTACTCTACCAGATTGGTGAAAGCCATAGTAAAGCCAGGAAAGCCATAGTAAACAGTCACTGCTGGAGGGACACGTTTTCCTTGGCACAGAGGTAAGTTTCCTTCTTAGCAGCAAGTTCAGTGCTAGGGCTATAGGCACATGCCAAGTAAGCACAAGAGGCTTATTTCACTAAAAGGATGAGAATACTATTATGGCTACATGCAGCAGTCGTGCTCCATGCATGGAGAAAAGTGGGAAACTGGAGGAGCTGTGAGAGTGGCATCTCCCATGGCGCTGCTGGTTCATTTTGAAGGACTACTTCACTGATGTTTGTCACAATGTGGTCCTCTCTCCTTCAAGCAGTAGGTTTGGATAGGCTGTTGTTGGCTGCCTATCCCCACTGCCCAGTGAAATATCAGAGTTCATACTGCAGGCAGCCCAGCATGATAGACTGGAGATTCAGTGGCATGTTAAAAAAGCCAGCATGGTATTCCTGCAGAATATATGGAAGGGACATGAGGACAGAAAGGGAAAATGGTGAACAATCCTTTCTTCAAGGAGATACACAGAGATGCAAGTTTCCTGAAAAAAACTTTACCCAAAGACTTTGTCATTTCATACTGTTCCCAACCATAAAACTAAGAAAAATGACCTGTCTGTGCCAGGAGTTTGGAGACATTAATTAACGTTTTGAAGCACTAAGTACTATAGCAATAAATTACATGGGAGATCCTGTGAGGATATTACTAATTGTGTATTCAGGGCAGAGGTTGAATACCATGTAGTAAATAAGGCATGAGGCCACACACTTAACAATGAGGATAAAACAAAGTAATAAATAGTTGCTCATTATTGTATGCCCTCCGTGCACAGACAAAGGCCAAAGGTCTTGTGTAAAAAGGTATATGTGATCCTATAATTAAAGATTGTACAGTGCCTACATGAGTTACAAGTTTTAGTTGTTTGGGAAACTTTAAATCACGCATTTCCCATCTTCTGAGCTCTTAACTTTGCAACTCTAACACTTTTAAGGTAGGCTTTTCATGTAATTCAATAGAAATGATTTAAATATTATATATCTCCCACTTGTCTCACCACAGTTGGCAGTAAGCTCCTTCTCTCATGCTGCCTGGAGCAAACTAAATGGCTTCTTGAGTTACTTTCAGTTTCATCTCCAAATCCTGTCTCTTGGGCCTATAATTCCTGTCCACTTTTCTAATAAAAGAATTAGTACTTTTCTTAGTGCTTCTTCTTGACAACCTTGATTCTCTTAAACTTATGCTCCCACTTGGTCTTGCCTTTCCTTCTCTCTTTTTATTTTCTGTTTTCACATCACAGAGGTGAATCTGTAACATACCAGTACATTGCTTCCATTTACTAGTACAAAATGAGACCATGACAGATTTAATATTCTGCAATTTTCCATGTCATACTAATTAGTTCAGAGAAGTGTTTAGTTCAATTTAAATTAGGTTTTAATGAAATAGTAGCAAACTAACTTACTATATATGGAAACTCATAGTGACTGTTCTCTTCCTCAAGAAATCTGAAACTCGGCATGTTCTGTTTGAGACAAAAAGTGTAAAGACTGGAAGAAAAAAGAGAACAAAACAGTACTGCAATTTACCTCTCTAGTCAGTATTTTGTATAATCACTTTTTAATGTGTAGGAGAAGTAACAAGTAGTGCAGGAGAAGTTTTGTCATGGGCATCAGTTGAATGTAAAGAAAGCATTGGGTATCTTTTGTCTCTTGCTCTTGCATCACAAAATATATGTAATTACACCTGTTGGTTGTTTTGGCCTCACTGAATTTTCCAGGTTGCCACCAACATGATATCTCTTTGTTTTGAATAGGAGTGCCATAGAGATGCCAGTATCTCTGCTATCCTGAGCCTTCATGGCTCTGCGGAGATCACAGATTAAATGCTCATATCCTTCTGTTCTTCTTGGGACCAGCGCACTACTGATTCTCCAGCCACAGTGAGCTCTCCTAATTGTGTTGCAGATGAGATTCTCAGCCTGAAAAAGGAGAGTCGCTCATGCATCATGCAAATTCAAAATTCAGCTGTATAGTATTCACTGTGTTCCGCAAAATCTTTTAAAAAGAAAACAACATTAAGACAGCATACAGATGAAATTTAAAGTAACCAACCCTTCCCTGCTGACAAACTAATTTGCATTGCTCCAAGAAATACAAAATGAAGTAAAATAATTTTATTGCCTTCTTTCCTCATTATGTCACAGTACTAATTATGCTTCTGGTTTTCTGAAGTCTGTAATGCTATTTCCTGCCACTGAGTTCTTATTTTTTTATTAACTTAATTCTCTAAACACGTTTTATGCCCCTCGTAAGGACTTGATAACAGTCTATCATGTTGCAGTGACACCAGTGGGTAAGTCTTCATCCACTGTGAAGATAGAAATGGCAGAACAATGACTCCTTAGAATTGAAACTGTAGAAAAATGATTAATATTTTCCAAGAGATCAGCATATGCTGCCACAGAGTGAATATGAAATCATTACATTTTAATATGGGAAACTGATGAGGTCTAAGAGCATAAATAATACAAGCCATGCAAGCGTATGCCTGCATGCATATAAGATGCTGGTGTTGCTTGGTATATGGAAGGTGCTTATGATATGAAGGATTTTACTTTGCAGCAATCACTGTTTCCTTTAGACTTCAGTAAGACTGAGCTCTCACTGCAGACACTATCTCCAGCACTCCTCAGAAAAAAGTAGGGAATTTCAACTAAGGAACAAGCACACATGCAATGGACTCATTACCATAGCTCTGACGAGCTCAAGGCTTAGCTTGAAACAAAAGGGTCTTTGCTGTCTGGTCTGAAAGGTGACAGCAAACAGGCAATACGACACATAAGCACAGGCCTAATAGCAGCCAGCTTGAAGGTGCTTCCTAATCTCAGTTAGAAGGCTATATATATATATAAATAAAATATTACAGACATAGAGAGTACACCATCAAAGAATTAACAGCTACAGAGGATCAGTTCCTCACGGGTATCAAGTTTATGCTAGTAAACAGGGTGCCTTATGGCACTCCAGATCTCTGGCTCACTGCAACATGACTTCAGAAAAATGTTCATCTCATCTTTAAAATAATATTGTACCTTTGATAGAATGAGAGGAGATGGCTTTAAGTTGTGCCATGGGAGGTTCAGGTTGGATATTAGGAAACATTTCTTCTCAGAGAGTGGTGCTGCAGTGGCACAGGCTGCCCAGGGAGGTGGTAAAGTCCCCGTCCTGGAGGTGTTCCAGAGCTGTATGGATGTGGCACTGAGGGACGTGGGCAGTGGGCATGGTGGGGATGGACTGACAGTTGGACTAGATGACCTTTATGGTCTTTTCCAATATTAATGATTCTATTTTTTTCTGCATGTGGCTTCTAGAAGCTGAGGACTTCTGTATAGATGCTGACCCTGAAGTACTCCTTGGACAGGACTACAAAAAGTGATGGTAAATGATTTGGTACTACACTGAGTGTAATGCTTCTGGAGATGTGTTGGAGAGCAATCCTTGGCCATGGAGAAGTGCAGCCCATTTATTCTGTTTGAATGAAGGGAGACAATCTTGGGACCAGGTCTGGAGCCTAACAGATGCCAAACTGATAAGAAATGAAAACATTAAGACTAAAGCCTTCATATTAATAAATATTTATATGCCTTGAAGAAATCTCCAAACACAGGATGCTTGTCACCAGTACACTTGCATGGTAAAATTTAGTGGTGTGGTTTCCAGTCACACTTCAGCATTTGCCACAGGCTTACTTGAAGATGCTGAAAGACATGACTATGGAATTTCTATTTGCTATTGACATATTTTTCTCTCTATTAAATGATTACAGGTGTAATTCCCAATAAAACCATTGGAAATCATTCCCAAATATTTGGCAATAGAAACTCAGCCTTCTGTTCCCTTGAAGCCAATGCAGCAGTTTCTCCAGTGTCTTTTAATTGACCTATAACCAGGAAGTTGCTGCTTACATTCTCAATAAGTTGATAGTAGACACTTCTATTTTTAGGAAAAAAAATATTTCCTCTGTAAAACGTAGGACTTAGATATTGCTTCAGGCAGTACCAGAGGTGAGGAGGCACATCTCGGGGACATTTTGTTTGAAGGGCTTTGGCACCATCCTTCCTGTCCTAACTGACACCTGTGCAAGTGCTCAGCCTCTCCTGCCTGAAGATCACAATGTTAGATTAATTCTTGCAGTGATTTTGTCATTTGAGCAGATGATTTAGAAAGGTTAACTTAGAACATCTGAATATTTTCCCATTTTTCCTATATTTTGTATTTTACTTTGTCCCGTTGCTAATTATTTTAAAAGGGGCTTTGTGATAGAAAAAGAGATCTGTCACTGAGGCAGTCATTTTTCTGGCAGACTGCTCTGCAAGGAATGCAATTGCTTAAATAAAAATGGCGCAGCTTTAATGTCATAATCTAATCACTCATTTCTCTGCCTTTCATTCTGATAAAGTAAGACATAATGAACTCTTGGTAGATATAGTAATACCCTATAAGTATTTCTGTAAGATTTATGTTATTATTGAATATTATTACAAAGAAAGCAGGACAAAACGTAATTCTTGCCTTTTTACTCAGTTACTCATTTTGTGATTTTAGGTTCTCCCACCATCTCTGAAAAGAAAGGATCAAATTAACCATTTTAACAAGCACTGTCTAGTTGCACATATGTACCATTCATTTAAATGACTTGTGAAATCAAACAGAGCCTTTCAAATAATGGGGCCTGTCTCCTTTCCCTGAATAATAAATTCAAGGAAGATCCACCTCCCTCTCAGGGCAAGAATGGATGGCTGGCAATGCTCGGGGGAATGAAAGGGCTTAAAGCACAGCACATAAAAGGCTGAGTAGAGAAGTCTTTGAAAATAAATGCAGGCTTCTACAAAAGGTGAGAAAGAAAAGGATGTAAAGAGCATGGCAGACTTCGTTGTAGTTTTGGGTAGTACATGCAGAAGAGGTTGCTGAGGCAATGTGTAATACCCTGATTCGAAGGTGAATATACTGCAGGTGTGGGGTGGTACGAAGAGAAAATTGCATTTTGATGAGGGGCAAGATGTGCAGAGGTTGGCTGAGGTAAAAGGGAAATGAAGAGCCCTGAAAAGGAATCAGGCTGGGAAATGGCACTAATTTTCTCAGAGTGAAGTGTTTATATTTCCACTCATTCATAATCACAAAATGATAAAGGTGAGAGAAAGACATAGGAGGGACATATTAATATTCTTAAAATGACACAAATGATAAACAAAAACCTCTTTTCCCTTTTCAAATGTCTCAGATTCACATCTAGCTGAAAAATATCAATCTTCAGGAAAACAAAAATTGTCATTATGCCTCAGTTACACATCTTCTGTGTATGTTGTTTGTATTTGTAGTAGCAGTAGAACTGGAAGGTTCACCTGAAGCGGGGCTGGAGTAGAGTGTAGCCTTTCCAGTGAATGTACACATCCATTTCTCCAGAGAAAGAAGCCACAAACAGATATAGAAGTGATCAAAGAAGACATTTGGTAAGCTGCTGTGTGCTGTCTTCTTAAATCAGCATCATCTGAGTTCAAAAGGCAAAAAATTAAAAAGCTTTAATGTAGCCATTTTCTCAGATTTTGTTAACAGTAAGCAGCTGATGGGTTAAATGTAATTAAAAAGGAAAACAGCAGAGCTTCAGTGCAATAACAGATTTGAGCTGTTGTAGCTGAAAGAATGATTTGGCATAACGTTGTTAATACTTTTAACTGTGTCAGAGCTAACAAGTTTACAGATGTGTGCTAAAACATCATTGCTGCCTGATTAATTTCCAAACATTATTCACCCACCTCCAGTTATCTAAGCGGCAGCTGAGTCACAAGACTCGCTCATGCATATTTGAACTCTCAGACCTACTGGACCAGATCAGTCATGGGTCTGATCCTGTCTTGTAATGACATCATTTTAAGTTCTATTTTTCTCAGAGAGTTTGTCTTGAGATCTCATTTGAACATTTGATCTGGAAAAATATAAAAATGTCTCTTTCCTTCCATGGTGCATTCTTGAGGATCAAATATTGCAGCATTTTATAAATTTAGGATAGGAATCTTCAAGTAAATTTAGCATGAGGGACTATGTTGACTGGCAGGTAGGATAACCAGTGGCATATGCAAGACCTTTGGATGCTGAAGGACAAGGCCCTCTTCTGCAAGTTGGTGCACCGTATGAACCATCTCCACATGACGTTTCGGAGCCCATCGCCTTGCCCAAATGAGCAGCTGCCACTGACTCTTACTGCTTGCTTACTTTTTTCTTTGGGTAGGGCAAGTCCTCCATGGGCAAAGAGATGATGGAGATTTTATCTTCCAGACCTTCCCAAGATTCCAGATCTTTCCAAGCCTTTGGTTTTCTTGATTCCTCAACTGAGGGGTGACTGACAAATTTCATATTCTCCTTTTTCCAGCCTATTGCATATGCAAATACATACACTGTAAGGCTTTGATTGAGCTCTGAATAAGTTTTATAGATTTCTCAGCAGAATTCAGCAAGTGGACTCATGATGTGGCATGTGGCATGGTGGGCATATGGTTACCCTGTTACCAAAAAGGGAAAGTTCACGGTGTTTGTTCTCTGTCGGAAAAAGCCCTACACTGTTTGATCATAAAGACATCATAAAGACATACTTTAATAGAAAGAGTGCTCCTTCAAGGTTTAACTTTGCTTTTTCTGCCCATAGACTGGAATTAGGTGGTGCTTTTGGGGACCTCGCTACCAGGTGATGAGCTTTGCAAACCAAACAGATTTGATGCCATCACTCCTAATAATCTCCAGTTATGGCTGCTTTCTGAGCCTTGTATGAACTTCAGGTGAGTACAGGTGAGCCCTTCCATCTGAGCTGACCAGTGGAGACCAGTTTCCATGGTGGCTACATGCATGCCCCGTACATCCTGCATCTGTGATTACTGATCCACACTGCTCCAGGAAAGCAGTGGTGCTCTGGATATTCTTTTGCACTAGGCATGAGGAGACATAGAGTGGAACAAAGAGTGATCAAACAGTAAATCCTTTTTGCAATGCCTGTAATGAGAAGAATGAAAAAGAAAAGTTTCCCAAGACATTAACGTGCCATCTTACCCTCTTCTAAGGAGAGGGATGGAGAGCTACCCTGTTGTTGTGAAGCCAATTGCTAAGGTAGGCAGAATGATTGTGACTTAAAAGTACATGAGCAGTATCTGCTCTTGAGTACGATCAAGAAATTTTATCAGAAGATGATTTTTTTTCCTTAATTAAAGGTATATCTTTAAGAAGGAACAACGTGATACTGCTTCTAGTGTTACATTTCTGGCTTTCTGCAAAATAGTGAAAAGGAAAAAACTGTTTTTGAAGGAGGGCGGTTTTGTGATAACATAACAAACTCCACTCATACTTAGCTTTTCTGCTGTGTTGTAAATATTTCAGGCTCAAATAAGTTTGTGTAGTAGCTGACAGATAAATTGATTTTGCAAATATAAATCTTTGAACAATGTCACTTGCTTTTTTATTTTTGAAAGACCAAACAATTTCAAAGATCTGCAGGTCTGAGGAAGGGAAGAAATGGTAACCATCTGTGAAATTTAATTTCCATAGATGCACCACAGTACTGAATTATTTGAATGTCTATTGCCTGAAGGTTAACTCCTGTTCATTTCCTAAACTCTAAAGAACAGAGTCTAAACCTTCAACTTTACTGATAGCTCAGGCTCTGCAGAACTGATAGTCATGAGTTCACCTTTTTGTAAACCAGCACTTTTGTAGCTTTCATAGAATTTATTTTCTTTTGTGTTCCAACCTTGTAAAATTTATCTAGTGGTTGAATATCTCAAACCATGGTATCATGGGCAGTTATGGGCAGAAGCAAGCTTCTCTGACCTTGCTCTGCACTCCATTCTGTACTCCAGACACGGTCTGGAGCCATGTGACTGTTTAAGTGAAAACTAGTGAGTATCAGCAGCAATGAAGAGCAACTCTTACACATCTGTAGCTGCCAGTCTGGCCTGAATCCTGAGTGCATGCAGTTGAGTTTGGTTCTGTCAGTCCTTATCTATGTAGCTGAGTCTTTTGTTATGAAACTCCATCATGAAAGCTTCAAACATCATCTGCAGTGGATATCCTTCCATTTGTCAGGCATCTTAACTACTACTAGCCATATGGTAAAAATAAACAGAACAGATCTGGTTTAGTTCCACCTGTGATGTAGTACTCAGGAAGCCCCAGAATGCAGCAACATCAATCTCCCTTGCTAATCATCAGGAAGTTAACCTTCAAATTCAGAATTTGGATTGCTTGTTGATAATTACACCTATTTGCTAACTCATTCATAGAAAGTAGAGATGAGAAAGATGCATTAATATCTTTTGCTCCCTGAGTGCAGAACTATTATCTCTATTTGAATCTGAGCCTGGCTCAGTTTTCAGTGCTTTTCAAATTGTCCATATAAAAACGGCTCCAGTCTGGAAAGTTAACTGAATAAGTATTCTTTGTTGCAATATTTCATCACTGTATAATGGCTGAATCTATAGCTCATAGAATCATATGGCTGTTAACAGGGCTGACTAAAGCAGAGCACAGGGACGAAATGAACATGCAAGACCTTATGTTTTCATTTTTAAATCTTTTGCCCTATACTGTTCCACAGCTGAACTTTTCTGAAAAGCTTCTGAGGCTTCTCAGTTATAGAGTAGTGTTTGTGATTTGGAGTCTTATGCAGCAGGGAAAGAGATAAGGCTACTACATTTATTTCACTTATTACTTTGTAATGGGTCAATAGAGTATGTGACTATAGATCTTTCAAGCTAGATAGGATCCCAGAAGTCCATTCCTCTGCTGGCTATGACAGCTGGAAAAAGAGAGAGAACTAAACCCTGGAAAAATTACTGCAAGGTAAATTAAAAAAAGAAGAAAAAAACCGAACACCAAAGCCCCAACAGCTATGTGGCTGAAGACCAAGGATTTAGACCTGTGTGTAAGAAACAAAGGATAAAGAGTGACAGAAAATGGTGGCATTTATAAAATATTCAAGGTATGGTCTCTAAAGTTCAGAACAATATTGAATAAAAACTATTTACATAATTGTTTTGGAAAGGGAATTATACCAGCCTAACATACTTTTGGGAGAATAAATTTAATCTACAAGATCTATAGTTTGCTACATCTTCTCAAAGCGTTTAATGTATCTGCTCGCTTTCTTTTTTCCCCTATTGAGGAAATGGCTTTGTAACATATCCAGCAGAACTTCTTCCTTTTGTGATATGACACCAGTCTGAATTTTTTTTCTAAGAACTCAAACATGAACACTACTAACTGGTAAAGATAACATAGCAAAACTGTAGACTGCGGAACAATGTTGTCATAATAAGATATCAACAGGAACAGAGTTTTGTTAGCAAGGTCCCTGACACACCAAGATAAGATGTGTTTTGGGGTACCTCTGAACCTCAGCTGCGTTTATCCCACAAGTTGGTACCAACGTGGTTGTGTTGAGGCTGTGAAGATGTGCAAAGCCTGGTTGATACAGCTGTGCTGGTAGAAACTCTTAGTGTAACATCACTGCATCAGCAAAACTTCATGAAGTATATAGATATCACATACCTGTGTCACTTCACCCCTTTGCTGAAGAAATGCCTTGAACATTCAGCTTCTCTCGGCAGTCCTTTAGGCAGAGGCATGGGTGCTGGGAACAATTCTTGTACCAAGAAAGGGCAAGAGATGGAGGGTTATTGAATTAGAGTGATCTTCCATTTAGTGGGAAGCTTTCCCCAGCAAACCAGCAGTGAACTGTGCAAATTGCCAATGCCTCATTAGGCTGCCATAGTCTCCTTCCCCTGCCAGCTGTAAATTAACAAAAGATGAAGCCTGCTCTGACTGGTTGTACTTTAGTGGGCAGGGAAATAGAGTGGTATGAAGGAAGGAGAGGTGATAGAGAAGTATCCTGTGCTCCTGGAAAAGACATGGAAAGGGGCTGAGGTGGTGATCTGCAAAAGAAGTTCCTTACTGGTACAGTACTACATCTCTCTTCCTCCATGAGTCAGTTCCTCTCTATGTTACTGCTTCAATTATTTTCTATCCCACTAGGCTTAAATTCTGCATCTCAGCAGCCAAAATGTGTGGCTAATAAATCCCAAACACCGACAAAGGGTGTGTAGGATTGGGAATCTCAGCCCACAGGATGAACTGAGAAGTGGAAGGTGGAGATGGTGGCTGAAGTCTGCCAAGATTCAGAGGAGCACACCAGCATGCCAGACCCTCTCTGGATGTGAGCATATCAGCCTGGTAAGCATCCAGTAAGGGGCCCAACCAGGTCTGCAGTGCTGTTTCCATGCTGTAGTCTCACTAGTTATGTGACTTCTACTGCAGAACTCAGAAGCATATTGGTCTTCTGAGCCAACACAGGGCAGGGCCTTGGGGATAAATAGTAGTGTTTATGTACTGCACTTCTTTTTTCCAGCAAGCGTGGAAAAAAAGCAGAGTGATTCCAGATCACGATGTCAGAGGTACACGAAGAGCATCTGTCACTATGACAGAATCGTAAATCATTGTGCTGAAATCCCAACGTGCCCTTTTTTCATTGGCAAAATAGTTCTTTAAAATGAGACATAATTAAGTTGCTTAGGGCGCATTTTATCTATTTTAAAACTTTTTTTTTTTTTTTTGTGAGTGAAAAGTGTAGACAAAATGTACTAGTTTGTTTGCTTGTTTGTTTGTTTTGTTTTTTTTTTTCCTTAAAAGTTTTAAGACATCATTTAAAAAATAATGTCCATGATTTAACACAGTCATTGAGGGTGCTGCTAGGAATTGTCCCAAGTGAAGATGTTATTAGGAAAATAAATCTCTTTAGGGGAACTGTTGTTAATAACGGAAACAGTGCTGAAGGCGCAACAGCAAACCATCCTGATGTGGAAGGAAGATAAGTGGTGAGAGGCCAGGATGCCTGCCTCGAGAATTCTCCAGTGACCTGAATATCAAAAAGGAAATCCTACAAAGAGTGAAAGCAAGGGCATACAAGTGAGATGAGTAATAAAGCAGTAGTACAAGCATCTAGGGATGAAACCGAGAAGACTAAGTCACAAAATGAGATACATCTCTCCTCCAGCATAAAATGGAAGAAAAAAAGGTTTTATAAATACCAAGAATTTAGAGGAAGAGAAGGGCAGAGGCACGAGTAATGGATACCCAGACTAGAGTAAAAATTTTTACTATTTATTTTGCTACATTCTTTACATGCAAATAAACATTAATGATAAATGTTTAACAACACTGCTTTTTTGTTTTGTTTTGTTTTGTTTTTCATGAGCACAATGCCAGAATGAAAAAAAAAAACAAACAAAAAACAAGTAAAAGGATTTTTGAATAAATGAGATATATGCGAGTCTCTAGAGCTTGTTGAAATTCATTCAATACATTCTGAACTCTCACTTATCTCTGAGAGTTCCTGGAAGAGCAGTGAAGTCACAGGAGCCTGCAGCAACAAAATAGCCCAATATGGCAATGTGCTTGTGATCACACTTGTGATTTTTTGGTAATGATGAGAGATCTGATATTGCAACACATGTTTTGCAAATTATGTTAAAGAAAACACCCATTCAGTTTAAAGCTTTGCTTTTCCTTATGTTTTTCTCCATTGTGGCACAAATTAATTTAAAAAGAAAAAGAGAAAAGTCTAATGGAAATTGTTCAATAAGGTTTCTTCAATGTGACGCTCATTGCAGGCTCAGATTTGGGCACTATTGAGAGTCATTGGCTGTGGGCCATGGACTGCATGGTTATAACCATTTCTGCTTTTAAAAATGAGGAATGAGAAACCTAGGGAATTACAGAGAAGTCTACCTAATTTCAATACCTAGAAAAATAGTGAGATGAAT